GAGAACCTCTTTGGCTAACCAAAATGTTCAGGATCTTGTATACTATATACTATACTTAAATACTGCTCACCATAACATCTTGGATTGTGTGGAGGACCTGCTTTTTTCCATCTCAAACCTTGAAATTGTGCTCCCAATTTTTATATATTTCTTGCTGCTATACAGAGACCTCTCAAATTTTACGATAAATATACCATATCAGAAGCCCTCAGTAGTTCACTTGTGCCCCTTAGGGCAGATATCCTGAAACAGACTTTTCTCTTTCCATGGGCTGAACTTGAACATATGGAAATCAGGTTCACCCTGAACCTGCTATACTTTGTGAGGAAAGCTTTCAATCTCTTTTAGCTGATGTTTGCACTGATTTGCATTGTTGGAGGAAATTGACCATGACATTGTTTGGGAGAAGCAGTGCTTTTAAAATGACCACACAACCTCAACATCTATATCTGAAATAAATGCTGCCCATAGTTATTCCCCTATTGTTTTTTTACGTATTCAAAAACCTTGCTCCTTTGTTTCATCAGGATTTACAAACCTACATGTTCTTGTTTCTCTTTCTTAACCCTTCCTAAACACCATAGGCTCGCCTGAAGTCCTTCAGTACTATAGAGCCCTAGACTTGTCAGGAGTGGTTAGTTGATGCACCCAATCCAACATCATACCATCCTATCACTTGAACCTCTCAAAACACATCTGGTGATCTGAGCCATGCTCAGGGTCATATCTAATACTGTCCCTTTACACTGGATCCCTTTTCACCTCTCGTCTATGACCCCAGTATAGAGGACCCTTATTTTCTCAACTAGTAATTGGTGGTAGAAATTCAAATGCCTCATGGATATGAGCAAATTCTGTCTAATGTATTTTTGACTTCATCAGGTTGGCTATCCTAGGCGGAGATAGAAAATCTTCTTGATTCACCCAACAATACCAATACCCACAGCAATATTTTTTGCAGACCATCCATAGGCATAATTGATTTTATAGACCCACCACCCTCTTTTCAGAATTTGTGTCAGTAGAAATCTTGTGTCACATTTAGTCTATCAGATGTACCAAATCTTAATGGCTCCAACAGCAATCTATGTTCCACCTTTTATCCATAAATGGGAGAGTGAGCTGCAAATGTCGCTTACCACAACACAACACTTTCTTTTATAAAATTTTGCAAGCAGGTCATTTTCTCCTTCACTGATGTGCATTCATGAGGCTGCACTGATGGGCACTGATGAGGCAGCACTGATAGGCCCCACTGATGGGCACTGATAGGCTGCACTGATGGGCACTGATGAGGCTTCACTGATGAGGCGGAACTGGTGGGCATCGATGAGGAGGCACTGATGAGGCTGCACTGATATGCAGCACTGATGGGTACTGATAGGTGGCAATGATGGGCAATGATCGACAACACTGATGGGCACCAATAGGCATCACTAATGGGCACGGATTGGCGGCACTTACTGGCAGCACTGATGTACCCTGATTGGTATTTATGGGCACTATTGGGGCTGCACTATTAATCAGAGCACTGATTATCAGTGTAGATGTCTCTGGCAGTACTGCTGGGCTTTGATTGGCAGCACTGCTGGGCACTGATCGGCAGCACTGCTGGGCAGCAATTGGCAGCACTGATGGACCCTGATTGACATTGATGTGTACTATTGGGGCTGCACTGATAATCAGGGTACTGATAATCAGTGCCCTGATTATCAGTGTAGATATTGGCAGCATGAGGAAAGTACAGCCGATAACCTGCAAATGTGTTTACATCGTTATCAGCTGTGATTGGACACACGCTGTGATTGGCTCTTTACCCTGAGATGTGATCAGCTATGTCCAAAGGACGCAGCAATCACAGAGAGTGCCGAGTGTGCGCCGCAGTGGGCGTGCGGGGGGAGCGCGCTGTTGCCGTCATTTGGCAAGTGGTTAATGGAATACTTGCATGTGCAGTGTGGAATTTAGTGTATGATTATAAGGACATTATTTTTCTTGTGCTTCTGTTAATCACATTCTGATGTATTTCAAAGAGTGATTTTTTGTTACAATTTCATTATTTTTTTGTGGTAATAGCACAGTACTTTTTATTGTATAGATACTACAGCCATTGATATCTAACAGCATGCTAGCAGCTTCTGTTATGTTTTCACCCATTAACGTGGTTTCACATTGTATTCTGAACTCACTTCTATAGACCGAGGACAGAATAATGTAGACTTTTTACTTCACATCAATAAGATCCCACTAAAGCAATGAAAGATTCTCTCTGGCAGTCCACTTACTAAACGCAACCTGCATATTTGCAATGTGGCAACAGACTGATACCCCTCCGTTATCCTTATGTTTAACAAAAATAAACACATTTTGGCAGATGGTGGATCTAATTTTTTTCTCCACAATCAAGAGGAGAAATTTAGGAACACATGGGGATGAGATTTAATAAAACTGAAGCACTCAGAATCTGGTGCAGCTGTGCATGATAGCCAATCAGCTTCTAACTTCAGCTTGTTCAATTAAGCTTTGACATTAAACCTGGAAGCAAATTGGTTTATATGCAGAGCTGCACCAGATTTTACACTCTCCAATATTAGTAAATTTCTCCTATATCATCCATGGACCACTTTATTTTATTCATTCTCCTATCAAGATATGACTCCCCCTGTTTCAGTTAAATTTATAATACAGATCAGTCACCTCTCTTGGGTGCTCTGAAGAGCTTTGCCTGTCACTGACCCCCGGTTCACATATATGCGGCCGTGCGGGCTGTGTTTTGCACATTTGAATGGACTCCCGTGCTCGTGACACACAGGGAAGAAGTCTCTGCACTTCTTTGGAAAACGCAGCCTGCACGGGAACTTCGGTTCCCAGTATGGTTGCGTTTTCCAGTGCGGGCAGCAGAACTAATGGCACCCGCCCACGGGTCCACATTTCTCTGTGCGGGATTTTCATGCGGATCCACAGTGGCACCACCCACACAGATGTGAACCTAGTGTGAAGTTGGGTGGCTAGCAATAATCCATGAATTTTCTATATTAGACACTTACCACTTTGGCACTGGTTTCAATCTCTGATGCATTTCCCTTGCCCCCCCCCCCTCTCTCTTTCCCTTTGTCTCCCTTTAGTTAATCCACTTCTTGTTTTTTTATCATTCTTTTTCTGTTGGTTCATTCTTCTATTTTATACTCTTGCTTTTTTCTTTTCGACTATGGGTCCTTCCCTTCCTAACAGCCACCCTCATAGACATTTAAGGCCATTCCTACTCGTTTTTGAGTATTGATATGCCTGTCCCTTAACATTTCAAGGTTAAAAACACTGGATGTAAGACAGACAAACTAATTTTTATGTGGCCTACAGCTGTTTATCTAGTTGGAGCTTTCAGAGTTTTTATGAAGTGTGAAATTGTATGTACAATATAAAGGGAGCAAGTACAGTTATAATACAATACAGAGGATTAAAAGAGCCCTGCAGAGCTTACAATCTAACAGTGTGGGGCAAGTAGTACAAAAGGTAATAACTGTGATGGATGAGCTAATTTAAAATTCAGCTGATTGAAAGTTCATGTCAGGGCTCCAGGTAAGACCAGAGGTGTGTGGACAGACACAGGGAAACACAGACTTCAGGTATAGCGTGTAAAACAATATAATTTATTAAGGGCAACACAAACATAAACACAGTGCAACAAACCAAACCCAAAACTAACACAAATACGTACAACAAGGTGCAACAAACCCAAACCTTAACTGATATATATATATATATATATATATATATATATATATATATATATATATGGAGCACAACGTAGTCAGGTGGGCTGGGTCGGTAGCTAACGAGCAGACAAGGTACAAGGAGTAGGCAGAAGATTGGTCAGGAATAGTCGAGGTCGGTGCAGGCAGAGTCAGGATCAGGCAGGAAGCAGGCAGGATGCAGGTACAGGGGCTCATGGGAACAATACACCAAGGCCCTGACTGCAGGCCTGGCCATTCCTTAAATACACCTCCTGCAATCAGCCTCAGGTGATGGCTTGATTGCAGGAGTGAGCTTCTGGCTGCTGAGAGCACCCGCTGGCCAGCCCTGGTACTGCAGCCCATATGGCAGGTGAGTCCCACCACCATTGGTGAGTCCATTCCTGACAGTTCAGTTGGTTTAGAGTTACTTTGATTGATAAAAGTCATTAAAACATTTTAAAATTGCTGTTCATAAGAAGCATCGGCTGTGAACTATGCAAAAAGGAGCTCTCATACAGTCAAGAGTAGCTGATCTGCATAAGGCGGATACAAAGAATCCCAAAGTGTTTAGGCATCCATCATTCAGCAGTTAAACAATTTGTCTATAAATGGAGACAGTTAGTACTGTGGCTACTCTTCCTAAAAGTGGCTACACAGCCAAAATTACTCCAAAGGAGTAATTTTGGAGTAAGGTAAAGAAGAACCCACAAGTAACAGCTAAAGGCTTGAAGACATCACTGGAACTAGCAAGCATCCTTGTTCATGAGCCTTCCATACATCTTTTAACAGGCAGGGTGTCCATGGCAGAACACCACAGAGGAAGTCCCTGCTCTTCAAAAAAACATTGTTTCATGCCTGAAGTTTCCAAAGAGCACCTTGGCAAACCAGGTGACTGTCCACCAGCTGAAGCTTAGAGGAAGTTAGGTGATACAACAAGACAATGATCCTAAGCATTGAAGTAAATCCATCACAGACTGTCTCAGTCAGAGCCCAGGCCTAAACCCCATAGAGAAGCTGCGCAATGAATTCAAGAGAGCCATTTATACCAGACATCCTACAAATGTGTCTGAGCTGAAGCAGTTTTGTAAAGAGAAATGTAAAAGAGAAATGGTGAAAAATTCCTCCTGAACATAGCACAGCTACCGAAAGTGCTTGTTGAAGTCATCACTGCCAAAAGGAAGTTCTACCAACTATTAACTACTTCCCTTCCGCCCTATAGAAGAAATACTGCTACAGGGTGGCAAGGGTACACAAAATCAGGTTCATATATGTGATTTTGCATTTCCAGGTTCGTGGCCTCAACTGTCCATCACTGGGTTCCGGCTGGTGATTACTCTCCAGCACCCGGTGATCCCGATGATCACCGAGTATCTCCGGCAGGGAAGATACCTGTATGTAAAAAACACAGGTCTCTCTCCTGCCAGCAAGCACATGCTGCTGTGTATTTCTCTGCACAGCAGAGAAATACACAGCAGCATGTTTCCCTAGTAAAACACACACACAGCACATTATGTAAAACACAGCACAGCACATAGTTAACCCTTTGATCGCCCAGATGTTAACCCCTTCCTGCCCAGTGTCATTAGTACAGTGTCAGTGCTTTTTATTAGCACTGATCATTGTATTGGTGTCACTGGGAATGTAAGTGACACCAAGTCAGTTCCTCCCAGTGTCACAATGCCACCACAGTCCTTCAGTTCCACTGATCCATTACTAGTACAAACAAAAATCCAGTATATATACCACCATTTGTAAATGCTTTAACTTTTGCGTAAACCAATTAATTTACATGTATTGGGATATTTATTAACAAAGACATGTAGCAGAATACATTTTGGCCTAAATTTATGCTGAAATTTGATTTTTTAAATTTTTTTTATTGGACAAGTTTAATAGCAAAAAGTCAAAAATATAGTTTTTTTCTCAAAATTGTCAATATTTCTTTGTTTATAGCGCAAAAAAAAAAAAAACATACAGGCAATCAAATACCACTGAAAAAAAGGATGTAAATTTCATTTGGGTGCAGCATTCCATAACTGAGCAATTGTCAGTTAAAGTAACGCAGCGCTGTAATGCAAAAAATGGCCTGGTCAGGAAGGGGGGTAAATGCTCAGGAGGGCAAGTGGTTAAAGATTAAGTCCACCTTTGGGAGCATGTTACATGTACCAATTGTTTTTAGGATGGAACATGTAACATGTTCCCAATGCTGTAGCTGCTGCCCGATTCCCCCCCGTGACAGAAGTTCCCTGTACTAGCTGTCAGTTTTTAAAAGCAGCGCGGCGGTGCGGGGTCATTCATTCACAAAACACTGTGAATGAATGAAATACAAGTCCCAACAGCCTTAGTGACTGTCGGCTTGTAGTTGTCAATGAACTACCACAATTCTCTGGAGCGCCCTGGTAGTTCATTAATTCTTTCTGTCAGTACAGTATATCGGTTTGCCTGTACATCCTGTACAGGCAAACATACATATTGACAGGTCTGCAGGAGACCTGCATGGCACCAGCAATCTGCTGATTGCTGGTGCACTGCTTTACAGGTTCCTGCAACAAAAAATAAAAATGCACATTTTTTTACATGCAAGAATATGTGCATTTATTATTTTTTGTCAAAAGGTGAACTTATCCTTTTAACTCCAAGAAATCATTTACTTTCTCATCCAGCACTGTGAATTTTTATTGGCTGTGTCCAATAGAGACACAGAAATTAGAATTGTTTGTATGTTATCAGATTAAGCACATTGTGTGTCTATTGTTGTGATTTAGATGAGGATCCGATCACGTTTTATGGCAACTGTAAAAAGTAAAAAGGTTCACATAGTTTTTCTTGCCACTGTACTTTTTTGTGAAAGAGTTTTCTATTGCCTGATGGCATTTTCTGTTTTTTTTCTGAGCTGTGTCTGGGAGATTTTCTTATGTGCTTGTGCTTGCGTCTTAACCACTTCCCATCCAGCCCATGTATATAAATGGCTGGACAGGGGCAGTGCAGGAGCGGCTTGCCGTTCATAAACGGCGCCCACCATTTTGGAATGTGCGCGCTCCCTGGGAGCGCACGGGAACCATGATCCAGTGCCCACTGTGTCCAGAGGACACAGTGGAACACCGATCGCTGTATGGGACCTCTGTGTGAGGTCCCAATCATGTGATCACTGATTGGCCAATCAGTGATCACATGACTAGTAGCAAGCAAGATGTCACTTCTGACATCATTGCTTACTACGTCTGAAATCTGTGAATAATCACAGAGGTCACATGGTACAAGGCTATTCACAACAGCCTTGTACCATGTGACAAGCTGTGACCAATCACAGCTCACACAGTATTTCTCAATGGCTGCAGAAATGCAGCCAGAGAAAAGGAGAAATGATTGCTTTTACAGCCTTTATGGGTGTAAAAGCAATCAGTGTAACAAAAAAAAAAATCTTCATCACCCCCCACAAGTAGTGCAGTGTCACTATGGTGTATAAGAAAAAAGCTTTTTTTTCAAAATGTTTGGACTTTTTCATTTATATAGCAAAAAAATAAAAATCCCAGTGGTGAATAAATACTACCAAAATAAAGTTTTATCTCTCTCAAAAAAATGCTAAAAAATTCAGATGGGTGCAGTGTTGCATGACCGTGCAATTGTCATTCAAATTGTGACAGTGGTGAAAGCTGAAAATTGGCCTGGACAGGAAGGGGGTAAAAGTGTCCGGACTTGAAGTGGTTAAACAAAGATATTTTAAAAAGCTCAGTTACTTTGCTAAGTGAGTATCTTACATGCACCCAGCTGATGTCAATTAAAATTTTATATAAATAATTTAAAAAGATACAAAGCACTGTTTTACAAACATACGAACATAAAAAATGTAAAGTACAACTGACTACAACCATTATTTACTTCTTTATTAATGCAGTGCTCATAGAAATAATGCATTACAACCCATGGAAAGTTGTGAAAGTCAGCATTACAAAAGCTGAAGTGTGGAATGCAGAGACATTAGTGAAATATGTTTTCTCACTGGTTGTTACTGACACCGCTGATTTTTGTACTCTTTTATTATACAGTATTAGTCAATATCAATTGCACTGTAATGCCACTGTAGTTCATAAATCTAGACCAAATTCTGGAAGCAGCCTCTTATTTATTCACAGTGAGCGAACACTACATATGCTGTAGTCACATAAAGGTAATTTTGCTTACAATGCTTTCTATATTTGTGTGTTTGACAATTTGTGTGCATGCTCTGATTGTCCACTATCAATTTTACACAAGAGGCATGCAGGAATCAATGTCAAATGGGAAAAAAAGAAAAAAAAATATAGGCTCAGCTGGTGACACCCCTCTGTGTGTGCCAAGCTCCCAGGGACATGCCAAATCAAATCAGCATCATGCTCACTGGAGATGATTTGGCTAGCAGGCTGTAAAACTGCTATAAAAACACAAACATATCTCATAAATCCTAACTGATCCAGAGAAAGAAAAACTCCCTATAAAAATGCAATTCGCATTAAAGGAAACTATAATGGTTTGGGTGAGTTGCATTATTACTATTAAAAGCGATTTATCTGTTCTAATACTTGGAAAACACTACAGTTAATATTTAACAAGTTTGCCTTTATCTTTAGCATCAAACACGGTGTTGTAAATTTTATAAAGCCCACACTAGACATAAACAAGCTAATCAATATTCGTTCAGCAGTTTACAAAATGATGAAGGGCAAAGCTGGAGGGTGGACAGGTGACGCACTGGGCCAATTGAAGGCTTATTAATCCATAGAGTCATAAAAAACATGCTGCACTCAGCATCCAGGCTAAACACTTTTCCTCCACAGTCTGTTCAAAGACAAGACACGACGTACACTCAGAAGAACCCTGGAGCCAGAATGGGGGTTGTAGAAGAGCATTATTTCAGTGGACTCCACTAGAGAAGCACCTGAGGAGGTCAATGCAATGGGGTGTGTATTAGGGTCGGTTCACACCAAATACAGTCTGGTGTGTTATATTTCTGCATCAAAAACACATGGACAGTAGGTTGCATGGATTCCAATGGCAAAGTTCCAGTACAGTTAACAAAAGTAGAATATACTGCATTCTTTCTGCAAGGAACTGCACTGGAACACAGCAAAACGCAGCAAAAATGCACTGGAGCAAATCTAAACCCATCAAAAAACACACCACAATGCATTACAGCAATTAAAAAAAAAAAACTTTGTGAAAAAAAACAAGAGGGGGGAAAAAAGTACTGGAATGCATTGAAACGCATCAAAACCCATCAGTATGCATTCAAAAAGCATCAAAAGCATTCATGCAGAAACACATTGGAATGCATCCAGATAGCATTTCTGTGGTGTGAACTGATCCGTAGACTTACTTCATCTGTATATAGTACATCTACATACAGACTTAAGTCAGCCATAGATGGGTCTAAATATGACTGTTTCAGCTGGGACTGGCTGAATTCCAATCCATTCTATCAGTCAACTTCTATATAACCAACCTTTCATTTTTTTCTAAACAATCAATGCCATTGGCTATAGCTGACAACACTGAGCATTATGTTCTGATGGCGGCTATAATGTATGGCCTGCCTTATTACATCTGTATATATACTTTACTGCCTGGGGATTAGTGCAAAGGAAGGAGGGGAAGGAGGGGAAAGTCACCCTTTGAATACAGCAGTTATGTGCATAGTGATAATGGCACCAGGTGTCACCAGTCATTTTGACATTGCTCAAGCAAAATTTTTTTAAACACAATATACAGCATGTGACATTTTGGTGTCACAGAGGACAGCCTTAAAGTGATATTAAAGGTTCGGTAATTAAAAAAAAAAAGTATACTTACCTGCTCTGTACAATAGTTTTGCACAGAGCAACCCCAATCCTTCTCTTCTCAGGTCCCCCGCTTGGCGCTCCTGGCTCCTCCACCTTGACCAGTGCCCCCAATAGCAAATTGCTTGCTATGGGGACAGTGGTGCATGCTTGCTCCCGATCCCCTTTCCATAGGTCTGTAAGAAACATGGCTCCTGCTGCTGTGTCTCAGTGCACATCGCTGGATCGAGAGGGGACTCTGGATGAGTATTGGGGGGCTGTGGTGGGAGCAACACACAGATTTTTCTACCTTCATGTATGGAATGCATGAAGGTAAAAAACATTTAGCCTTTACAACTACTTTAAGGTATCAGTTAGCATAGTGTTATCTTAATGAATGGAGTCCTTTTGGGCTCCAGAGTGGGTAATATAGCTCTGTAAGACCAAAGTCAGAGTGCTGGTGGCATTTCTATGTCTCCTAGCCACAAGTATGCGACAAGGACATGTGGGGTTAAGTTCTTTCATTAACTGCACTTTCTTCTGTGGCATTCCCAAGGACAAGATGTGTTCTTGGCATTAGGAAGGCAGATGAATGTGTTGATGGAAAAACCTCAGCATCACAAGTCCACACCACATACTCTACCTGTAACTGACTGCTGGTGTGAGCCATTTTCAGGGACACAGTTGCGATTGAAGTTTTTGGGAGACCCAGCAGGTAAGTAATCACTGACACATACACACACACACACACACACACACACACACACACACACACACACACACACACACACACACACACACAGATATTTCACCCCACTGATGGCCATTTCCAACATACACTTTACCAACCACCTCTACACGCACACACTTTACTAACTTCCACTTAACAGACACACATCT